AGCCTACCTTCTACTTGATGGAAAAAGTCTTAACAAGGACTCCCAGGAGGTCTCTTCAGCACACCACATATTGCAATGAGTCTGGAGAGAGAGGCGGAGACATCTATCTTTTTCTACCCAGGGTCAGTTTAAAACAGAATTCTCATCTTGGTGATGTTGTCTTAGTTTAAAGTTGAAAATCCTCTTCTCTCCTTTATGTTATTGAAAAAAACCCCCAAAAAATAAAAAACAAAAAACGAATGCACACTAAAGGGCAAGGGAAAAATCTCCTCAGCTGTGCAATAAAAACATTGCACGAAGGCGTTCTTTTGAATTTCGGGTTCAGAACATTCAAGACCATAACAGATTGATTTGTGTGAATCTGTCAAGATCTTATCTTGCAGGTACTGTAGGAAATGTATCAAAAAGCAGAAAATCAGGCACCCAAAACATTTTGTGCAAGTTTCTTTTTTTCAGCAGTTGCTTTACAACGGAATCTGAGGGTTTCAGGTTTTGCTAATGTAATCCAACTCATTGTCTTCCCTTAATTATCCCAGCCCACATTTTCCTTTAATAGCTTGCAGGGTAATTTGCACATAACATATAGCAGGACAAGCATATAATTTGTTGACACCTGTGAGCAGGGGAATATTTCATTGCTGGTACATCCTTCTTACCTCCTACAGTTTACTTGTGAGAGTCAAGATTCTCCTGACTGAAAATATACCTGAATTTTCATTTTGACAGCTAGTGCTAACCTTCCTTCCCCTCTGTCATCCCCCCCGGACCCCACCCCACCTCAATAAAAATCAGTCCAATTCTGTTCAGTTCCATGAGCATGCCAGTGGTTTGGAAGGTTTTGATATCCTAAGATATTTCATACTTAGAAGCAGCCTGGTACAGACAATTTTTAAAAGTTCTCTTCTTTGGTAGACTAGTAAAACTGCCTTGAGTAGTGGCATCATTACAAAAAAATCTTACAAAGTTGAAATGAGGAAGTGGTTGAGCCCTTTCAACCAGTATTGCTAAGTCTGTTCATTTCTTACCAGTGTTCTGGGCTTGGACAACAACTACACACACACAGTATTAAAAAAAGAGAATGAGGGGGAAATTTTCCCTGTTATGTCCTTGTAGCATGGGGTAGGCTTCTTCTGGACATTGCTGGGACAGCTCCATTGACTTTAGAGCCTTATACCAGGGGTGGATTTGGAACAATCTGCCTGCATGCAGCTTTTCTTCAGGTTTAGTAAGAAATTAGAGCACTCATGTGCTTTCTGAAATAAATTGTACTGGCCCCAAAATTATGGCACATAGGAATCTATCAATCAAGGGGGAATTATCAATGATGCACATGAGAATTCTTGCTATTTCACCACATGGGCCAATATCCTGGTCCTGATATTCCAGATTTCACACAGGCCAAATTCTAACTTGGTGAGTGTTTTAGCTTTATAAGCACTACAAGACTGAGCACTCTGAGCATAATAAATTAAGGGGAGGACTACTTACATAAGAACAGATTCTCCCCTTGATAATACAAACACAGTTCCATTTAAGTCTGTGAGAGATGTGCATGTATCTGAATGCAAAATGTGGCCCAAAGGAATAAAAAACGAGATATGTAAGAATAGAATGATGTCCTTTGAGGACTAGATGGTTGCGCGCACACACTTTCTCAGTACAGCTTTCTCTCCCTCCCCACACATTTTTTTTTTTTATTTTCAGACTTAAAAAAATGAATTCAGAGTTATGGAATTTTATAACTTTTTGATTTGATCTTAATTGTTAGGCCAGGTCATCCACTAGCTTCAATCTGTGTAGGTACACTGGCTACAGTGGAGCTATGCTGATTTATATCAGCCGAGAATCTGGCCTTTAATTTTATTAGACTTTCCCCAGTCTGTAAATACATACAGAACACAGTATAAATTATGTGCAACATCAACCATGCATAGCTGATAGAACCTCAATGAAAAACATCAAGTGACTACATATGTCTTTTATCTTTATAAATCACAACCTCAAATGCCTTTCAAATACAAAACAGAGTTTCCAAAGAAGGAAGTAAGTAGAAGGGGTGATAAGAAAGTGTCTGTGTATCTGCAGCTTCTGACTTGACACAGCATAAATGAGAAGTTTACAATCTCCCTTAACGATCTCATTTTACATTATACTCTATGTCCTAAAATGGTTTGTAAAATGAGGTTTGAAAGGAAATTGTACACTAATGGAGAGGCACAAATTGGAGAGGCAACTGGAAAGCAACACCTTGTGTTGTATTAATTGAATTAATAACATTTGTTGGTATTCTCTACACATTTTACTCAGATTCTGCAAGGAAAGTTAGTAATGCCAGCTATTTAGTGCTAACACATGCTAGAAGAACACAATTTGTGCTATTCAAGGAAATGCAGTGAGTATGAGAATGAGTCAGTACTTGAAATCAGAAAGTCTGTTCTCCAATTTAATGCCACTGGAGGAGAATGTGAGGATTGGGACAGATGTTGATAGCTGTATTCTCACTTTGGTCAGCACTGTACATTGTACAAAATTCACTCTCCTCTTACGAAGTTGATGTTAATAAAAACCTTTCAATCCATCAAATAATGATTCCCTCCTGCCAGAGAACACAGATTTGTTTTTAATGTAGATAACCGTTAGGTAGTTATAAGCAGGGATCCTAGTTTTCCATGGTTAAAAACCGCAAAATTCTCCAATTAAAAGAAACCTAAAAATCTACTTTTTTTGCAATTAAAATGAAACGCTGAACTTTGGTTTCCCTAGCCATAATATGTATAGGTATTAGTTCAGAGATGTCTGAAATGGGTAAGGAAAATGTTATTCTCATAAGGCAGCTAACTTTCAATGAGTGAAGCAACTGGTTTTTATCTTTATACAAAATGAAAAAACTAAAGATTTTTCCTGTAAAAAACTTAAATTCTGCATTTTTCCATGGTTTTTCTGTGGCAAAAGGATTTTTAGGCTCCCTTTTTATGAATTTAGTAGTAGCAAACCTAGATAAATAGCTTTTTAACCTTCACTTTTAATACAATTTGGTATTTGAATAGGACAAAAAACAACCAAAAAAACTCCTTGTAATCTTAAATAAAGGATGGAATCATTACATATTTTAAATAGATATGCTAGCAGTAGTTAAGATACTAGACCATTCATAGACTCATAGACTTTAAGGTCAGAAGGGACCATTATGATCTTCTAGTCTGACCTCCTGCACAACCCAGGCCACAGAATTTCACCCACCCACTCCTGTAACAAACCCCTGACCTACGTCTGAGCTATTGAAGTCCTCAACTTGTGGTTTAAAGACTTCAAGGTGCAGAGAATCCTCCAGCAAGTGACCCATGCCCCACGCTGCAGAGGAAGGCAAAAAAACCCTAGGGCCTCTGCCAATCTGCCCTGGAGGAAAATTCCTTCCCGACCCCAAATATGGCGATCAGCTAAACCCTGAGCATGTGGGCAAGACTCATCAGACAGACACCCAAGAAAGAATTCTCTGTAGTAACTCAGATCCCACCCGATCTAGTGTCCCATCACAGGCCGCTACCGCTAATAGTCAAAGATCAATTAATTGCCAATATTAGGCTATCCCATCATACCATCCCTTCCATAAACTTACCAAGCTTAGTCTTGAAGCCAGATACGTCTTTTGCCTCCACTGTTCCCCTTGGAAGGCTATTCCAGAACTTCACTCCTCGGATGGTTAGAAACCTTTGTCTAATTTCAAGTCTAAACTTCCTGATGGCCAGTTTATATCCATTTGTTCTTGTGTCCACATTGGTACTGAGCTTAAATAACTCCTCTCCCTCCCTGGTATTTATCCCTCTGATATATTTATAGAGAGCAATCAGATCTCCCATCAGCCTTCTTTTGGTTAAGTTAAACAAGCCAAGCTCTTTGAGTCTCCTTTCATAATACAGGTTTTCCATTTCTCGGATCATCCTAGTAGCCCTTCTCTGTACCTGTTCCAGTTTGAACTCATCCTTCTTAAACATGGGAGACCAGAACTGCACACAATATTCCAGATGAGGTCTCACCAGTGCCTTGTATAACAGTACTAACACCTCCTTATCTCTACTGGAAATACCTCGCCTGATGCATCCCAAGACTGCATTAGCTTTTTTCACATCCATATCACATTGGCGGCTCATAGTCATTCTGTGATCAACCAATACTCCGAGGTCCTTCTCCTCCTCTGTTACTTCCAAGTGATGCATCACCAGTTTATAACAACAATTCTTGTTATTAATCCCTAAATGCATGACCTTGCACTTTTCAAACTCCATTACTTTATAATGGATAATACAGGGGTCAGCAGATTAGGTGACTTTCCTATAGAAGAAAGTGAAAAAGTAGTTATGTTTTAGGTGGAGGTAAAATAAGGCTGGGGAGGCATCTGTCACTCAGCTGCTATCCCCAACTTCCAGTTATTACAAATGGTATTGTGCATTGGGCCATATGGGATGATTTATGGGTGGTGGGATCTGAACCATAACCAATGAAGTAAAACTTAATCATATTGCTTTAGCTCATCAGTATAGATGTTTCAGACACAGTGCTCAAGGCATTGCTCCAGCAGTGCTGACTCAGTTTGATGCAAGCCTTAAAAAAGGCAACTGATAGAAATATTGTTTTCATGTACTTGCTGGTACCATGACAGAGTTGAAGAAGTTCACTGACTGAAGGGAGATCCCTATGGAACTCCAGCATATCAGTTATGATGAGGTAACCCACAGCAGACTAAATAAACTTGTGCACAGAACATTACAGCACCCAGGGAGGATTTTTTCTAGAGCAGTACTAACAGCATACAGATGCATTACATCACATTATATTAAATATTATTTTACATGATATTGTGTGTTTGTGTATATTTTTCAGCTACACTCCAATTCTGACAAAGGTGATGGATCAGTCAAGTACATCCTTACTGGAGAAGGGGCTGGAACTATATTTATTATTGATGACACTACCGGAGACATCCATTCAACCAAAAGCCTAGATCGAGAGCAGAAGACACACTATGTGCTGCATGCTCAGGCTATTGACAGACGGACGAACAAGCCACTCGAGCCTGAATCTGAGTTCATTATCAAAGTGCAGGACATCAACGATAATGCACCAAAATTTACAGATGGACCTTACATTGTTACTGTGCCAGAGATGTCTGAAATGGGTAAGGAAAATATGTTATTCTCGTAAGGCAGCTAAATTTTAATGAGTGAAGCTACCAGTTCCTGTTTCACAGAGTTATAACAAAGTATTTTCTTTATCATTAGTTATACACAAAGGTCAACAAAAGCTGGAAGATTGTAGTAATAACAAGGCAACAACATTTCAAATCGAACATCACATGTTAGTTTTCTTTATCTGTCTGTCCATAGTACACTCATACAATACATTATATATGCCAGCAGAAGAGGAAATGCTGTGCTATTCTTAAATACTTCAATAGTTTTGCACTCCTGCGTAACTGCACTTTGGAAAAAAAAGTTACATTGTTACATTCCTGTACAACTACAGTGTTTACTTTATTTTCAGAGGCATTTGTCTGTGTAAATAATCTATGCAATTTATGGAGAGAATAAAACAAATGAAAGGAAAAGTAAATCTCCAGTTTATTTTAGACCACAGCCTCACAGGTTCATCTTCAGTTATTTTTTATAATGTAAGATAAAATGTAGCTCAGCTTTGTATTACCCTATGACAGTTTTACCTTAGGTATTAATTATATGTTCATGCATTTTGCTGCTGCTTGATCAGTGCTATATTTAAAGCAGCAGCAACATGCTAGCAGTTCCTGTTACTTATTGGTCCCCCAATAATATAATTGAATTTTTTTTTTCACAGTGCTAGATATATTTCTTTTCTCATGCAGGATGGACAGATCCAAAAAATATTTTTTTTAGAAAGCTCAGCTATTGTAAGCAGTTTTCCCCCTGAAGCCTGCTGCCTTGTATCACTAACTAGTGATTGGGGACAGTTACCCACACTAGTTATAAAAGAGAATAACAGGAAGTCCAAGACAAAAATAACCCTCCGGAGTCGATTTACATAAAACATATAATTTGTTCACTTCAACTGACTCTTTCTTTCTCAAGTCAGCAGGTGTCTGGCTGAACTTTTGCAAAGTTGAATTTATAAACGCCAACAGGAAAAAATATCAAAGTGAACTGAGTAACCGGCCTCTCATAAAAAAATGATTATTTTGATTATATGTTTGGAGAAAAAGGCTGGTATGATTGAATCCTGATGGTTTATCATCATTCAGTCACACTGAATTATGATGATAATTCATCATAATGGGCCAGATGCAGCAAAAAAAAATAATCAGGGGTGCTTTGTACGAGTCAGGAAAGCAGAGAGAAGAAGGTTTTGTTTTTAATGAGAGGTAATTTGAGGATATTAAAAAGCTTAGGTATGGAGAGCTTGCTTTGGGCTGGGAGCCCTTTGTTCATTCTCTGGCTCACTGGCATTTAAGATGTAGAGTAGGGGTAGGATGACCAGACAGCAAGTGTGAAAAATCGGGACAGGGGGTGGGGGGTAATAGAAGCCTATATAAGAAAAAGACCCCAAAATTGGGACTGTCCCTATAAAATCGGGACACCTGGTCACCCTAAGTAGGGGATGGGCATCACCTGCTATCATTACTATGAGCCAGTTGACATATAGGTCTCTTGGGTTCTTCAAGTTTTTTACTCTAATCTTGCTGTGGGAGTGGTCCAGGCACATAGCTAGCCCCTTCACATTTTCCTTCATCACATGCATGTAGTAAAATACAGCATATAAAATATTAGCATGTGGGTTGATCACACCATTGTAGGTGGGACCAAACTGTTAAATCATGTTCCTGAAATATTCAACAGCCATAGCCAGGATTGTAGCAGTTTGAAAACATGAGACTGATTCTCCTCTCCCTTTACATTGATGTAAAACAGCCATTACACCACTGATGTAAATGAACTTACACTGGCGTAAGAGAGAGGTGAATTAGTCCCATTGGTTAAATACAATTCTTTCCTATCTACCCTGCAAGACCAGATTATTTTAACTGTCCAGCCCAGCACAGTAACTATCATAATGTAGGCAGGATCTAAATCTCTCCCTCCATCCCCTTCCTTTCTCCTGGTTCTAATGCTTTTGGCTCCATCCCCATTTCTCTCCTCCCTATTGTTTCATTCCTCCTTAGGTCAAGGAACAATCCCCTTGTTATATCCCCTTGGTTCTCTTCTCCCCCTTCCCCACTCATTCTCTTTCCCCCAGACTTTCTTTCACCCTCACTATGCCACAGAATCCCACTTCTATCTTGCTCAGCATCTCTAACCCCCCTTGCTATGTTTCACTTCCACAGAGTATCTGATCTATTCTGTAGGTCTCCATTTGTTTATCTCCCCAATTCTTTCCCTTTTCTAAAAGTCTCTCCCTAACCCCCACCCCTTAGAAGTACCATTCTCTCTTCCTAATAGCTGAATGTCCAAGCCTTTGGTCAGTCTTCCCCTTGGTGTCTTTCTGCCCCCAAGTGATCTTGATTCCTTCTTTTCGTCTCCTGCTAATTTTGGTCCCCTTCTTTCCACCCCTTCCTGGGGTCTGTGTCTCTGTCTCAACTCCCAGCCTTGATTCCACGAGTCTTTCTTTTTCAGCAGTCTTTCCGCCATATTTGGAATCTCTCCCTGAGCCCCTTTTCCTTCCACTACCCTGCTTTCAGCTTAAAGCACTCTATCTACCTTCTCTCCCAGCTCCAGCTATCACCATAAATCCTCTCTACCTGGTCTGCACTTTTTATCAGCCACTCTAACTGGCCAGTGTTTGAACTAAGATAGCTCTTCAGATGACTGGTAAGAGGCTTTCTAATTGGCTTGATATCATTTAAAACAAAAGGTGCAACACTACTTTTCTTATGGTTGTTTGTTCTTTTCTGAATCCATGACTCCTTCATGGATACTGACTACTTAATTGATCTATTGTTTCTGTTCTGGAGCTGGCAAGATTTTTCTCCACTCAGAGATACTAATAAGTAGAGAGCCACATGTTTTATTTTGATGCTTTGAATCCATATCTGCTGTGCCCCACAATCAAAATATATGAATTCTCCCCCACCCCCAGGAAGAAATATAATCCCTGGATGTAATGTCTCTAAGGCCTAGTCTACACTACAAACTTAAGTCAACATAAGACACATTAAGTCGATCCAATAATGTATGGGTCTACACTACTGAGTCCCTTCTGCCGACCTAAGTGGCCTGGAAAGTTGGCTTCTGTACTCCACCTCCGCGAGAGGGGGAGCGCTTGATTCGACATCCATGGGTCGACATGGGGATAGTGTAGACTCTGTTGTGTAATTCAAATGAATTGGCCTCCAGGGAGGTATCCCACAGTGCTCCACTGTGACTGCATGCAGAGCACTTTCAACTCCATTGCACATCAGCCAGTTACACAGGAAATAGCTGCTCCCCTGTTAAAGCCCCTGGAACTTTTGAATTTTCATTTCCTGTTTGATCAGTGTGGAGAGCATTCCGGCATAGCTAATGATGGAGACTCAAGTCTGCAAACGCGCTCCAGCATGGAGTACAGGAGGTGGTGGATCTTATTGCTGTGTAGGGAGAAAAGCCTGTACAGGCAGAGCTACGATCCAGAAGAAGAAATGTTGGCATCTGTGCCAAGATTGTGGGAGAAGGGCTACACCAGGGACACACAGCAGTGCCATGTGAAAATAAAGGCGCTTCGGCAGGTGTACCAGAAGACAAGGGAGGCAAAAAGTCATTCTGGTTCTGCCCCACAGACATGCTGCTTTCATGAGGAGCTGCATGCAATTCTCGGTGGTGACCCCACCACTACCCCAAAACGCTCTGTGTATACCTCCCAGGAGCTCCGGGCAACCTCAAGCAACGATGAGGAGGACATTGTTGATGAGAAAGAGGAGGAGGAAGAGAATGTGAGGCAGGCAAGTGGAGAATCCATTCTCCCCAACAGCCAAGAACTGTTTTTAACCCTGAAGCCCATTACTTCGCAGGACCAGTTGGCGTTGGAGCATGATGCCAGGGAAGGCACCTCTGGTGAGTACACATTTCTAATCAAACTCTAGGGGTTACATTCTATTATTTTTAATGTTTAATGTTAATGTTTAATGTTATTTTTAATGTTTAATCTGAACAAAAAAGTAGGTGTAGTGGGTATCGGTGGCCACTCCAGCTACGCAGAGGGTGCCTGTGTGTTTATGTGCACAGGGATGGCTCGGGAATCCTCCATGGAGATCTCTAGGAAGCTTTCATGGAGGTACTCTGCAATAATTTGCGGAAGGTTTCTGGGAAGGGCTGCCTTATTTTGTCCACCACATAGGACACTTTCCCACGCCACTTCAGTATTAACTCTGCTGGCATCATTGCAGCACACAGCATTGCAGCATCTGCTTCCTTGCCACCTATGTTACCCTCAGAAGAGTGATATTGCATAGGGTCACTTGGGGGAAATGGGGGAAGTTTTCAATGCCAGCCCTTAAACCACAAACAATTCAACAAGTAACCTACCCCCTCTTTGATGAAATCTGGGTCACACAAACACACTTTCCCAAATGTGCAATGGTTATGGTTGGAAGGGATCACCGAGTATTGCAAGCAGCATTGAAAAAAAAAAGGGGGGGGCAGCTTCCTGTTTGTCTCCCTCCCCCTGGTGCTGCTTTTGTTAAAAAACAAACTATTTGGGGGGCTTTATCCTGGTGCCTGTCCTCAAGCACCATCCAGATTGCTAGGGGAAAGGGGGCTTTTCTCAAGTTCCAACCTGTGATCCCAAGGATGTCTTCACAAAAGCAACAGCACAACTCGTGGCCTTACTCACCATGGCTGGAGCAGTAAACTGAGTCTTGCAATAGCCAGTGGTTGGGATTACGTTGTGGCTTGCAGTGAAGTGTATTGAGGGGGGCGTTTTTATTTTAAAAAATTAACCTTGCACCAGAAACAATGTATGCACTGTCAATGCTACCCTTGTGCTTTGCATTCCTTGCAGCTGAAACCTTGTCTGTCGGTGCATCCTCCACACTGGGTCAGAAACTTTCCCAGATTAGAAGGTGGAAAAAGAAGACTCAGGAGGACATGTTCAATGAGTTAAGGAGTGACAAGACGGAGCTCAGAGCATGTAGGATCACACTGTCTGAGAACTTGGACATAGACAGGGAGGACAGGA